AAGCTAGTGCATTAAAACTCTGCCCAAACTGTTATTTTTGAAGACTTCTAAGGTGATCATGATTTTAATTCTGATTATGGAGCCTAGAAGACCATTCAGGCATCTCTTCTACATACATGCCATATCTAATCCACACCTGAAAAGCCTGTTATAAGGGTAGCAATTGCCTCTCTAAGGGGTTCTAGAAACCAAATCTGAATCAGCTCTTAAACAAAGAAGATAAAGTTGAGTCCTTCTCTTTTGAGCATCACATGAAGACCTACCCAGCCTTTTTAACGAGTAATAATAGCAAATTAGACTCTCAGACACAATTGCATTACCACATCAGACAAGCCAAGTCATTACTCCAGTATACACTTTTTGCCCACAGTGAACACGAGGTGATTAACTCTGTTCACAGTCAGAGGGGTAAAAAAAAAAAAAAAAATCAGTAAAAAAAAAAAAACAAATTACCTCTCATCTGCTGGTCTTCTGCCAGCATGTGGCAACTTCATCAGTGCATCAGAGGTGTGTGTGACACTCAGTTATCAGCTACGCAAAACATCAGACAGCTCAGTATTTTATTCCAACATCAACCCATGCATGCAAGCCACAAAGTGGGCACCTCTCCAGAGCTACATTGAATCCCCTTCCCAAATTAGCACCAGAACAACTGCAAATTGTTAATGCCTTGTAGCCAGAGTCCATCTTGCTGATAGCGGTGCACAGAAAAGCCGCAAAAATGATAAAACTTAGCTTGAGGAAAACAAAGACATATTCTCCAGGCATTTTTGGTTCACCAGTAGAAAATTTGGGGTGATATCTATGCAAGTGAGATGCTTCCCCTCCCCCAAAGCAATCAACCAGCACATCGTATGTTCTGCAAATGCACCAGTAATTAATGAGACACTTACAGCTGTATATATCTGGCACACTCTTATTTAATTCAGCACTGGCAAGCTTGCCAGCTACCCAGATCTCCCTGCACGCTCCCCTCCACCTTTCTGCCCTTGGGATTAAAAAATAACTGATACCCAGAGTGCAAGTTTCATGGCATACACTGAGAACTGCATCCAGTGAAAGCAACCACAGCCCCGTTTCCATCAGATTTAATGCTACCGTGTTCCTCTCGGTCTCAGCGAAGGAGAGGAGAGTATTTGGCTAATCAATATGAGAAGTACCCAACGCCTGATGTCACCACAACCCTAGCATTCAACGAAACCCCACTTTCATACAGATCATCTGGGCCTTTCAGTTCTTTAGTAGAAATGGTCATCACTGGCAAAGCTGAAAGTTCAGTGTTATTTTGTGACTGCAGCACAGCAGTAAACACAAAGGCAGAATGACACCACATGAACTGCATGACAAGAAGATGTCCCAGGGGATGGAAACAACTAATGCCAATAAAAAACTACAAAGATCACCTTTGGTGCAAAGAGAAAAGCACACAAGAATATCCACATGAGCGACGATTAACAAAGTTCTCAATTCCACAGCTTAAAACTGCAAAGTAACGCCCTCCTACAGGAGAAGTTTGTTTCTAAATTGGTGGCTCTGCTTAAAAAGATGAAGATACTCACCCATTTGGTAATAATGCTCTCACAAGAGATAATCAACAACCACATTGTGAAGATTTTCACCTGCTTCACTGCAACCATGTGCAGGCTATTCAAGTCCACTGAAGAGCACACTTGAGAGAATCATAGAATGGTTTAGATTGGAAAGGACCTTGAAGATCATCAAGTTCCAACCCCCTGCCATAGGCAGGGACAACTCTCCCAAATACAAATATAAATACAAAACTTTTTTACTGGAATAAGTGAAAAAGAATCAAAGTTCAAGAAATTTTGCACAGAAGTCATTAACAAGAACAGCCTTTTAGAAGCCCTTTTTATTATTTAGAGAGTTTAAATCCTACAAGTACAGAAAAGGTGCAATGTGCTAAGCAGGAGAGGGAAAATGGGAGACACTAAGACCTTTATCATCATGATAAGATGGTAGGCGCAACAGCAACTCTCTCAGCCTCTCCTCATAGGAGAGGTGCTTCAGCTCTCAGATCATCCTCGTGGCCCTCCTCTGGACACGCTCCAGCAGATCCACGTCCTTCTTATGTTGGGGACTCCAGAGCTGGATGCAGTACTCCAGGTGGGGTACTCACAAGAGTGGAGTAGAGGGGCAGAATCACCTCCCTTGACCTGCTGGCCACACTTCTTTTGATGCAGCCCAGGATACAGTTTGCCTTCTGGGCTGCGATCGCACATTGCTGGCTCATGCTGAGCTTCTCATCGATCAGCACACCCAGGTCCTTCTCCTCAGGGCTGCTCTCCAGCCATTCCCCGCCGAGCCTGTACTTGTGCTTGGGATTGCCCCGACCCAGATGTAGGACCTTGCACTTGGCCTTGTTGAACTGCATGAGGTTGGCTTGGGCCCACCTCTCCAGCCTGCCAGGTCCCTCTGGATGGCATCCCTCCCCTCTAGCGTGTCTACCTCGCCAAACAGCTTGGTATCATCGGCAAACTTGCGGAGAAGAAGAGCATTCAGACAAAAGGGACTCAGGGTTTTCAGGCATCCCTTGAGGAACATCACCATCATGGCCCATGAGCTGGCCAGGCCATCATGCCCCGCTGAGAAGCTCCCAATTAACCCAGTCAGAAGTTTCCATTCACCTTCACCCAGATGGATCACAAGAGTGCCAAACAGCATTTGATGCTTTTATTGCCCAATTTACCTCCTGTTTCATTACAACCATCCGGCTCCAGGAGTAAAGGAGGACTGATACCTGCTGGCTTCACGGATCCTTTCTCCAGCTTAACACGGCAGCTTCAGCTACTTCACAATCCTGGTTGCTCCCTTCCCCCTGCAGCCCGGGCACACTGATTGTTACCTGCTTTCATGTCCCTTCCATCTTTACCCTTTTTAGAGTGGTTGTGGTATCCTGGGTGAAGATTCAAGTCTCACAGACTTGCTGGGATCTACCCAGAGCTTGCTCACCTCTCCCTGTGGTTTGGTTTAATTAATGCAGCAAAGCATAGTTAAATACAATAACAAGCACATGCTGCAATTCCACCCCAGGCTCCTCCTGGGAGAGCTGCTTTATCCTACAGTCAGCAAAACTACATAAGCCCCTCTAACATAATTGACACTGTGATCAAAGTGAACCGTGTCAAGATTTTACTACAAAAAAAAAATATTATTTTTTACACCGACATATTAACATTTCTCTATGAAAGGCATTTTTGGCAACATTTTCTCTGTCCTCCTCCACCCCATACCTTTATTTTACACTTAAACCCCTCCAACTTCCATAACAAGGGTCACTTACGCATACATTGTCATGACTGAGGGAAACAAGAAATGCGATACTTTTGTTTGCTCTCCCTCTCTCAATGCAGTTCTGAATGAACTCTTGAGTATATCCTGGTTTTGTCACTACGTAAATCCAAAATGTAGGTCAAAAGTCTGTGTGGTTTGCCACAGCAAATGACTTGTATTTCATCTGCCTGAAGGCAGATGGGAACTGAGTCATCTGCTGCTGCATCATTCTCTGCTTTTCTCCTTTCCTCAACCCTGGTTTCTTTTTCCTTACCATCAGATTATGGTTGAAAGAATGCAGTGACATCAAAAGACCAGGAAAGCAATGCCTTGTACTGCATATCATGCAGGGAGGGGATATTTCCCATTTATTTTTTGTTGAAGCCATGCCTCTTTCCCAACACAGCACCTACCACACAAGTAGCCACTTTCTAAAGTGAACGTAAATTTTAATTTTCTTCATTTACCAACTACACTTGCCTTTCATGAGAAGAAATTATCACACATGAACAGGAAAAAATATAAAAGAAGTTATTTGACCTACGGGGCGTGGGAGAAGAGCACACTACCATTTCCATCACTGTTTACTTGGGAGGTGCAGTGGTCCTTTGGCACGGCCACTTCTTAGAGCTCCTGAAGCAGGACTGCCAATCAATTCATGCTGTTCTCTATATTACATTAAATTACATAGGACTGAAGTCTTTCGTGCTAGATGCATAAACACACACAGCCAAAAAGCCCCTGTGTTGGTGTTATGGTCAAGTGTCTGCACATGGACAGATAAGGAAAAGAGTTTGAGATAATACCCACAGGAAAAAAAAAAAATCGGTGATTTTTGTTTCTTACTACTGATTTGGAGGTAAAAGGCTCAAAAAGCAGTACAGCCCCTCTGCGATACTCATCTCTGCTTTCACAAATTTTATGCATTTATATAGATGAACATCAGACAAAAGTCCAGAAAAACAGGACTGAAAGGGTCTTGGAGAGATTACCCAGCCCATCCCAAAGCAGAATCAAGTTCTACCAAAAATGACCCTTTTCTCAGTAACTGCCTAAACCCTGCTAAGGCCTTCTCATCAGTGGGGTTTACACAACCTCCTCCAGCTTCCATCCCAACAGTAGGCACATCACCCAGCAAAAAGTACCACTACTGATGGTATCATCTACAACGTGAGGACATCCAGGGCATCATACGTAGCCCAAACATTTATTTCAGTGAAGAAATCGCAATTATTATAACCAACAGGAACACAGTAAGATGCATCACAGCTGCTGGCACAAGAACCCACAGGACTGACAGCAAAGTTTCCTTCAGCTAAAAAAATAAAATTACTTTTATTTTAATTGTACAAGCACACTTTGCAATGGAAAGGGAAGCAACAGTGTTGACCAAAGGCAATTGATAACTCTGCAAGTCAAAAACCACAAACTTTCTACTTATTCTAAATAAAAAACGTGTATGTTTGTATTGCAAGCCTCTTGCTATCACTTCTGCTCAGCAACATTTATAAAGTGGGAACTTCAGAACAACCTAAATTCACTATAACTCACAGACAGCTGAGCTGAAAGGGACCAGAAGCAACATTGCAGAAGTCAGCAATCAACTGAACAGCGCCGGTACAGGATGTTACCAACAGAAATACCACCAATGCCACCTCATCCTTCCCACTTTGGACCGTAGAAATTTAATGAAGTCTTTTTCCTCTTACCTCTTTGTTGGTGACTCCTGGGGGCAAAGTCCCATGCTTGTAATCCTCCAACAACTGCACAGCTTCCTTCAGACGACTCTGCAAATAAAACAGCAGCACGGTCTACAATGCTTGTCCTGCACTGAATTGTTTTATTGAAGGCAATGAATTTGACTAATAGAATTATATCTTCTTTCATGCAAACCTTACGATGGGTGCTTTTACCCATAAAGGAAATACCCATAAAAGGAAAAAGGATGCATGGGCACTTGTTCTGCTAGTTGGCACAGCCATGTTTTGTATCTAACTACAGAAGTGATATAAAGGAAAAAGCAAAAGAGAAAATACAAAAAAACCTCCTCCTCGCAATGCATCTGTAGAAAACATCATAAAAACCTGAGAGTCTTCAGTGTGGTACCAGAGACGTGATAAATCTTGGGAGATTAATGAGTTGTTGCTTCAAGGTAGAAAATAGCTTAAGACAAAATGGATACGTTCAGGTGTAATGTGGAATACCCATCTAAAACATTGGTATCGCTCCATGCCAACTCTCAGATTAGAATCTCCCAGTGATGTCTACAGGGAAATGCTTAGATTGAAGACATGACTTTGCTCCCACACCCTCTCCCAGTACATGTGCTGGGGTGGTACAGCTGAAGGGAAGAGCAAGGTAGTAGCCTGCACGTATTAAGCATCACCACGAAGAACCCAGTGCCCACTAAAAAGTTACAATGCAGTAAGTTTTAGCCCGATCTCAGCACAGCCAGATAAAGAAGAGCAGCTCCACTGAACCTAGCCTTTAATGGCACGCAAAGCAACATTAACAGCACCACTTTGTAATTGCGGACTTAAGTTCAAGTCGAGTTAATTTACCTGTAATACATTGACATTTTCATATACTTCAGACAGATCTCAGAGTGCCACTACGCTGAACCACTGACCTGTGCTGCTTTTTTATGGTGCCTGTTATGCACTCATTCAGACAGGGTTTTCGCAACCGCTTATGTTCTCTCTAAAAATACCAAAGTCAGTCATCAGTGCAGTTAAAGTTAGAATGCGACTATCACTAGCGATTCAAATACATGCATGTGTAAATAAAGATCTTCCTCACACTGTGATAAAATAGAAGAATAAATACGTTTCATGTGTTCAAGAGATCACAAGAGCATTAAGCCATGCTACCAGCCTGTCAGAATCATCAATTTACTCCCAGAACAGTTATTCATATATAGAGACATATAAAAAAGTGTTTTGCAGTTGAAGCAGTGAAAGTTTATATATACATAAAATAATTTCAAGAACTACATATAATAGTTTCAAGAAATACATATATTGCATGTATACATATGTACTATATTATATAAAGTATGTATATATATACTCTATTTAATATATATATTTCTTGAAATAAATAAAAAAAAGAAAACACAGGGCAGAAGTAGACAGGTAGAAAGATTCTTTGGTTAGTCCAAGGTAAAAAGGAACAAGTGAAGATATAAAGAGCAGCTTTGGTGGTGTTAAATCTGCTTATCCGAGCCTGCAGAAAGCACCAGATCACCAAGTAATGGCTCCCAAATATTTGAAGCCAAACAAATCACTCAGCTAAACAATTTCAAAAGCCTCCTGCAGGTTATCTGTCATCCAGATGAGTAACACTGACTTCGGTTTGACATTTCTGCACTAGCTCTGTTGTTTTGGCAGCTGTTCTAATATTAGTGCTGGAGGACATTTCATAAATACAGAATATATTGTCTAAAATAACATGTAGTGCAATGGTGGCTCATCTAAAGCCCTGTGGTTTCAGTGTAATCGTGTCAAGGCTCTTGGTCGTCACTGCAAGCTCCACTCCCACAACCCTCCTGCAAATAAGGCGAGCGTCCCTGAGCTCATTACGAGCTCGCATCCATGGGATCGGTTGCAGGGAAATTACTTTTCTCCCTTTCATGCAAACATCAAAGAGTACTTTGTTGTTTCCTTGGAAGCGCCAGCAGTTACGCCAACCTGAAAGCAGCAATTAATGAATGACTATTGTCCTTAAAACATTCAACACACAGGACATATGGAATAGTGGCAATTCCTTCGCTTTGCAGAGCAAGTGGGTTGGGATCAGATCCACGACCATTTTTACACTGGCTGAGCTCATATCATCAGCACCACATTATTTCCAGCCCTCGTATTTCATATATTTTATGTATTCTTACATGATTAGCAGCTACTCAGCAGAAGTGCAGAGTCTGTACAAAGACACCAAACAAGGCTTAGCATCAGACAGGAACAAACTCTGCAAAAAAACCCTATATATTTTTGGAAAAATGTGGGCTCAGAGATGGGGCTTGTTTGTGTTGGGTGCTAAAGCCGAGGTCAGTGCTGCCAGCTGAAGCTCCCGGCCCTGCATCACTACACACACATAACAAGTGATAAATTTTCTGTTTTCTGCCCTATTTCTGGGTGTGTTGTCCTGAAACTGGCTCCCTCTGACTCAGCCCGTCCCATGCTCCGTGCCTGACATGCCCTTGTGGAAAGAGCTGCCAATCATCCTTCTCACATTTTGCTGAGCCTTTTGCTTGGGACCTCCCAGAGCTCCTGTGGATTTCTCCTACCAGATGGGGCTTAGGTCCACTTGCAGATTCTGGCATCACTCTCGACTGCTGGCACGTTCATTCGCCATTGTGAAAGGGACTAGACTATATAGAGAGCATGAAAAATCTCAAAGAAAGATAGTTATGGCCAAGACTGGACTAGATTTTAGTGGTAGGTGCAAGCACTTTCTTTTGTTCTTGTATTCCCATTTTACTGGGGCATTGCGAAATTCAGAAAGCTATAGTTATCAGTTTTTATGGATTTTACAAAGAGTATCGAAGATGAAGGACGATCGAGTGCGTTCATGAGTCTCCCCTCCTTCGTCAAAGGCTAGGCAATCACCCATTTCACCTCAAAAGCTGGCTGTGGAAACACTCTGACTTGCTCCAAAAATCAGACAATGACTCAATGCATAAAAGCTTTTGTTACTGGTTCAGAAAAAACATCCACCCAACTCAAACTTTCTCCAATAGTGGCCACAAGCAGCTGCACAGGGAAAAGCAAGAAGGTGGCAAGCAGAAATAATGGCTCCCCTAAGCACCTTCCCAGCCTCCCACTGCTTTCAGCCAAGGCTGATGAGGTTTCTGTGGATTTAGTGATCTCCAGTGGATTTCTCCTCCAGCTGCTTGCTCTGTATCCCCTTGAACCAAAAGGCCACCATCCAAGTAGACATAGCAGACAAGCTGTATATAGCGACAAAAATTTGTCTTAACTCTTAGCCCCCTTCCCGTATGCATACGTAAGCTAAATCGGTCTTAAATTTTAAAGTTATCTTAATAAAAATAATATGCAAGTGATAGAGTGAACACGTGAGTCCTTTCCTGGAAGGAGCTTGCATTCTTTAGGAGCATAAGGAAGTGCATCCAGAATACTTCAATGGATATGGCCAGTGAATGGTCATACTCTTCCACGTCTATCCAATACCCCAGGCTGAGAAATGAGTCCTTATTATTTAAGCCAAGTCCTCTTGACATTGGACAAAAAGGAAGAGTTATGAATTAGGATGAAGTTTTCTGGTGATACAGTACTGGGTGATGTACTGTTCCTCCAGAAAGACTGAGGATCAAATACAGGAGAAAAGCTGACCTTGAGAAATGGGCACATGGGATGAAAACCAACAGCACGGACACATGGCCATGCTCTTCTGAGCAGACTCAAATTTCTGCAAGACTCTCAGGGCTCTGTAGCTGGAATGACCAACTACAAGAAAGACCAGTTAAGAACTACAAGAAAGACCAGTTAAGAGTGTTGGTTGATCACTGTAAAACTATGAGGCACTGCAGGCATGAGAAACAAATAGGATTTTTAGGCTGTTTTAGGCATTTCCAACCTGTGAAGAAAAGTAGTAATACAAGATCACAACAGGACTTGAGCTTCTTGAAGTTGCTCTTGATAGCTCCTTGCCCTGTTGGGCCTCATGGTTGTTTAAAAGTATCATATTAGGAAAAAGCTATTACCTACCATGAATATCAATAAAATATAATTGTATAATATTGTAGACAGCCCGATACTCCAGAGGTGAAAAGCCAGACAGCTGAATGACTCATGACTGCAGAACCAGTGAAGACAACCCTTCTTGTCTCCAAAGCTAGAAAATAACCCAGGAGTGCCAGCACAACGTTCTGGAGAGCCATTTGTGCTCATTATTGGTATGTGTTTTTGTCACTGAAATTACCTACACTGTGTGTCTTGCAAATTATCTCCACAGAACAGCATGTAACTCTGAATGAAAAACTGGAAGTAATAGATGAATGGGTCTGTGTTCTATTTTTTTTCCCCTTCTCTTGAGGAAATCTTAGTAGTTACTATAACAACCCTGGCCAGATCCCATCTTGTTTAGTATGGTAACAAACAGAAAACAAAAAAGCCCGATTTTGCTTTTAAAATTGCAGTCTTCATGAATTTCCTCTTTCAGCTCTATGGGGAGAGAGGGGAACTTTCTCAAAAGAAAAGAGTCCTAGACCAACACTGCTGATGGCTCCTGAGATTGACAAAAGAGTGATACAGAAAGTGAACAGAAGTGTTAAACTTAAGGACCACTTTAAGATGACATCTTTCACATGGCTTGGAGGCGTTCAGGAGCTTTAGCGAATGACCCACAGCCTCAAAATTTTGTTTGTGAAAGTACACGGTTGCTTTTTATCCCTTCTAGAAAAGTGAAGCACGCTTTTTTAATCAGAGCCTCCAAAAAAAATAGGAAATAACTTTACAGCGTGCAACAGCTCCAAATGCCAACCAGCTCCACTCCCTGGCTTTTAGCACGATACAGCATTATTATGATAGCTGATAACATCTAAGATTACACTTCATTTCCATTTCAACAGGGAAAAAAAGAGGTCTGTCTACAAGGTTGTGCTACTGATTCAATATTTATTGTTGCTTGATTTCTCTACTGTTATCTGTAGGAAGAAGTGTCACTTGAGTTTTTACAGCATCCCTTAAAAAAAAAAAAAATGCAACCACAGCTTTTACTAGTACGTATAATTTCTTTCATACCCCTTTTCTCGTAAAAACTAGAG